TGACAAAATCGCTGCGAAGTGGAACAAAGGGTGAGTGCTGCATCTTTAGATATATATAGATAGATATCGTTGCGCAGTGCTGCCATCATGTTGTCCAAAAGGTATTTCCCCCCAACAGGTTTCAAGGTGATCTTGAACACCTCTAAGGGTGGTGCTGGCTCATATGAAGGCCAGTGGCTCGAGGTGCGGGGCGCCGTCACGTGTCCATTGCATCCGCTAGGCAGAGAAGCGATGGCCTGCAACCTACTAGCGATGGAAGTAGTGTCCTTGCTCCTAGTAGTAAGGCCAGGAGCCCCTAGTAGCGTCCTTGCTCCTAGTAGCGATGCCCTTTGTTCCTAGTAGCGATGGATACACGTGATCTTCAAGACTAGCAAGCGCCTTCCCTTTTCGCGAGGACAAACGCTCTGGAGTTGGGACCGAGCTGTGGGTGACTTGTCTGGCTGGTTTTGTGTTGGACTTACGAGGAAACTTCTAGGGGCTCCTGGCATCGCTACGAACAAGGACGCAACGAACGAGGCTCCTGGCCATACTACTAGGAGCCAGAAAGCTACTAGGAACAAGTGCCTCGCTACTAGTAACAAGTGCCTTACTAGTAGTAACAAGAAGCTACTAGGAGCAAGTGCATTACTACTAGTAGCTAGAAGCTACTAGTAACAAGTGCATCGCTACTAGGGGCTCCTGGCATCGCTACAAGAAACTCCAGGTTCCGAAGACTCGAAGACTTGAAGAGCAAAAGAAGAGACATTGCTCCTTGTTGCGGCCCACTTCCCCATCCAACTGATCAGGCAGATGGATGTGTCTATCGCGGATCCTTTTTGAACGGCAACAAGCATGGAAGGGGGTTCTACCAAACTGCTGATGGGTGCACCACCTACAACGGCTGCTTCCAAAATGCCGCTTCCTCAGAATGGAAATTCTTCGCACCTTTTGTGTTGATGTGGATCATTCTTTCACCAGGATCAGATGCATGGTGAAGGCGTTTACAAGTTTTCAGACGGGCACCTCTTCTGCATGAGCAACAGTGCTCAAGGACATTGAAGGGTGATGAGGGGGAAAGGTGCTACTAGCAGGCACTTGTTACTAGTAGCTTTTTGCAACTAGTAGTAATGCCCTTGTTATTAGTAGCTTCGTGCTACCAGTAGCGATGTCAGAAGCCCCTAGTAGCATCCTTGCTCCTAGTAGTACGGCACTTGTTATTAGTAGCTTCTAGCTGAAGGTTGAAAGCATGGGTCCGCAAGGTGGGAGTTGCTTGGCCCCGGATTCCAAAATTCAATGCGTACCAAGCCTTCCCCAGCAGACATGGCTTGGTTTCCACTTTCTTCGTTTCCGGCATAAGGCGTGTTTATTCTGGATCCTTCAAATCTGGGCAGAGCACCTAGCTTGTGTTTTGTAACCTTGCATTGTTTGAGTTTAAAGGTTCCCGTCGCAGGCAGATGACTGGCTATGGGCAGATGTCTTGGCCAAGTGGCGGGGCCCCCGCATTTTCAGCCGATGCTATGCGATTTCTAGCACGCCCAGGGAACATAAGGGAGCAGAAATTGTCGGGTAGGCAGCGGGTCTTAGACGTCTTGTCGTTCAATATCGGCCCTTGTTACTAGTAGCGGTGCCCTTTTTACTAGTAGGCCTACACTTACGTCTCACGGATAACGTCTCACGGAGGCAAGGCGCAGGCAGGGACATCGCCCACGTATTTAATTTCGCTGCATAGTGCGCCGCATCGTTGATCGAGCAAAGCGACACCAAGCTAGTAGGTTGGAGGCCACCGCTAGTAGGTTGGAGCTCATCGCTAGCAGGTTGGAGGCCATCGCTAGTAGGTTGGAGGCCATCGCTAGTACTGTAGGTTGGAGGCCATCTCTGTCATCACTAGTAGGTTGCTACTAGTACTAGTACTAGCTCTACTAGTAGCAGTAGTAGTAGTAGTAGTAGTAGTCGTAGCGGTAGCAGGAGCAGGAGCAGCAGCAGTAGTAGTAGGAGCAGTAGTAGTAGTAGCAGTAGTAGTAGTAGTCGTAGTCGTAGTCGTAGTAGTAGTAGTAGAAGAAGAAGTAGTAGTACTAGTCGTCGTAGTAGTAGTGGTAGTGGTATTGGTAGTTGCTTTTGTCGGTGGTATTTGCTGTATATAGCCTACATGCCCGTAACGTGGAACTTTCTCACCTCATCTTCCTTTGCTCCAAAAAGATCTGTAGGTTTCCATTTTCCAGGACTTGTCAGCTCAGCACTTGAGTGGTTTCCAACATTATCGTGCTTTGGCTGAAGGTGCTGCGTATGAAGGGCAGTACTTGTCGAGGACCCGGAAAATCTCAGAGGCTTCAAATTGGCCCAAGTGTTTTTTATCCGCAGTGTTGCGATTGTGTTGTTGATGTTTACCTGCTTTTCGTGGCTAAGAAATGGAGAGAAACATGGGCCTGGTGTCTACACCTGGCCTGATGGCAGCATGCTTAGTCTTGGAATTCCATCGCAAGTATTGATCGGTGCATTGTACCGAGGCCGGGTCTATGAAGGGCAATGGTCGCATGGAGAGATGCACGGCAAAGGGGTGCTGTACGGCCGGGACCTTCTTTCCTGATCTCGTGGAGCGTTCAGAGAGGCATTCCAGCAACGCCCACATAAGCCAGGGGTAGTTAAAACGGCGGGCGTGTGAGGTTTGAAAGAGGCTGAGGTTGAACCCGTTATTCTGCTTTGAGGCACTGATGGCAATGTCGTAAGCGGAGTTTGGTGTGAGAAACTCAGCACCAGAATCTGAAATAGAAAGATAATAGAAAGGACACGGGGGACAATGAGAGAGAGAGAGAGAGAACGTCCATTTCCAACGTCACGTGAACTCACAAATTTAACTGAATTTGTGACTTCAAGGTCACGGAAAGTCACCCTAGCCGCCTAGCTTCCAGAAGCGTAGCTATGGAAACTGTACATATCGACTTGAGTGTTTAATGTCTTGACATGTCTGACGACATGTTTTGACGACATGTCTGCATGTTTGCAAATCAATCGCTCCCAACGCTTGGATCAAATTGGTAGGAGCAATGCTCGCTACGAGGAGCAAAGGGCATCGCTACTAGGAGCAAGGAAGCTACTAGGGGCTCCTGCCTTACTACTAGGAACAAGAAGCTACTAGTAACAAGGGCATTGCTACTAGGGGCTCCTGGCATCGCTACTAGGAGAATTCTTACTACTAGGAGCAAGAAGCTACTAGGTTGGAGGCCGGATTTCGAATCCTGTGATGTGAGATTGCGATGTTTGACGGTTGGAGGCCCTGCATTTTTGGATGAACACTTCAGCGGATCTTCCATGCGGATCATTTATTGGGCAGCCCTTGCGGCTCAGAAATCTGCTCCACTGACCGGGTAGTTGACTTGGTGTCGGTGGAGGAAGGCAGGCATTAGTCCCATTGGTTTCCTTAAAGAACCCTACCTAGTAGCAGTCCTAGTAGCGATGGCCTCCAACCTACTATCCAATCTCCACGATTTCCATGATGGCATGCCACGGCATGCTGTTTGACTGTCACAGGACGGCATGTCTCAGGGTTATGGTGGCAACTCATACGGCCCGTTCCCGAAGTGATTTGCCAACGGCTGTCTCGGAAGAAACCCAGGAACACCTAGAAGCGCAAAGGGAAAAGAGGGATAGAAAAGCCCAGAGAAAGAAAGCAAGAAAATGGGCATTCATCACTACTAGGAACACGGGCATTACTACTAGGAGCAAGGACGCTATTAGGTGGAGGCCATCGCTATTAGGTTGGCCATCGCTACTAAGAACAAGACTAGTAGCAAGGGCATTACTACTAGGAACAAGACTGTATTAGGAGAAAATGGGCCAGGATTGGTTTTGCGAAGCCATCCGAGGCGCCGAAGACCAGGAGCGCTTGCTGGATGAAGCCACTGCTGTGGTGCTTTCCTCAACGCGTGTCAAGAAGACTGAAGCAATGATAATCCAAGAGCCAGATTCTACGGTTCTACATAGATGGCATTAGTGCAAGTTTGTTCTAGCTTTTTCTCTGTGGGTAGAGGTCTCCTCTCTTAAACTCTTGGCTTGGATTCTCGGAGGCCCTTATATTCCCCTAATGCTCAGGTGAAAGAACAGGCTTTCTACATGAAGAAAGCCATTGACGGTGACAATGTCAGAGAGGCCCTGAAGAACGCCTCGAATATGATCTGCGAGTCCTGCACCTCAGATGGGGTGTGTGCGAAATGTCTTGCAAGAGGGTGGGCAAGATGGAAAAGGGGGTGGCTTCTAGGTTGAAGGCCATCGCTTTTCGATTGGAGGCCATTGCTTCTAGGTTGGAGGCCATCCCCTGTAGGTTGGAGGCCATCGCTAGTAGGTTGGAGGTCATCGCTCTTAGGTTGGAG